TAATAGAACTGTCGACTTTGGAGAGATATTGTTGCCTTCAGGACCACCAGCGCACTGCCTTAAAAAGTCTGGTCCCGCTCTATACCACAGCTCTAGTTGGGTCACTTGTAACTTGATCTTTGCTGAGGTTACTAGATGAGCCGTGTGGGACCAGCGATTCTGACTTGGGAGAATTGTATCGTCGCGAATTGCATCAGATGAGCGACACTGCGTGGTTCCTCATCCAGCACCCATGAAACCGTGAACACTAGTTGGAACGGTTGGTTTGGCATACATGGTTCAGGTCTTGCGGTAGTCAGTGACCGATTTGCAACAACATTTGATCCTTGTTTCCTTGCAATCAATACATAGGAACTTATCAATGTAAGCAAGTATTCCACTTCATCGCTGATCGAGGTTCATAGTTCAAGGTTCATAGTTCAGCTCATCTTTGTTGATAAAAGCGCCTTGTCCACTCTCCTCCTCATTCATGTATTGGGTGTGGATAAGCATGTGGCTGAATTCATCCGTCTCATTCATCAGGATAAGCACTTTTGCTACTTAAACAAAATGAGTATGTAGAGTGGTGATGAAAAGCTAAGTGTTTACTATGTTTATACTATTGCAGATTCATACAAAAAGATGTAGAATTGATTTGTTTAAGAAGGTAATGAGGTTGATAGATACAATATTAGAATCGACTTTGTCAACCATTAAGTAATTGGATTATAGTTTTGGAAAGCATCAAAATCTATTTTATTTTTAGAAAATAGATAGTGGTTAAAGAAGTAGCAAAGGATTTAAGTTTTTGGAAGTGCTAAACTACTTAATTTGATTATTTGCAATAAATCAACAAGAAAAAATTTAGAATTTTTTTTAGAAAACCACAAATTCAAATAGCATAAGTAATGTTAATAAAGTTATTGATACAATAAGCAACTCTACAAATTGAATGATGATGAGAAAAGAAAAAGTTAGAAACACAATAACAACTTTTGCCAATAGAATTATTGTACAAGAGAAATCATGAAGAATGCTAAAGTTTTTATATTTTTCTATTTCATAATAATTTTGTTAAAAATAATTGTTGTTACACAAGTTATAAATGTAAGTAACTAAAATAAAATAAAATATAGACTAGATTAAAGAAGTCAGGAATTAGAAATTCTATTATAAAAAAAGAATGTTAAATTTAATTGAATTAAATAAATTTTCTAAATTTAAAAGAAAAGAAAATGAAAAAATCCCATTGGAGTTCTAAGAGAGCTAATAAGATTAAGCATAAATTTTTCCAAAAGAAGAATTTATGAATATTTCTTTGAACATCTTGCTGAAATTATAATTTGTATGTAGGTCTATGAACTTGGTTTAATGAAGAAGTTCTTACATCTTAAAATTTCGGAATAAAATTTTAAAATATAAATTTAAAAATTAAAAATAATACTAAAACAAAAAACATACAACTTTTACTTTGACATAAATAGTGTATATAGAGAATTATGTATAGAGAAGCAAAAGAAGAAATTAAATTCTTAAAAAAATTAAATATTTTAGATAAATTTAAGCATTTATGGTATCAATAATAAAACCAATTGGAAAATCTACAGATTATAGAACTAAAAAAGTATGTCGAATTTGATTCAAATTCTATAAAAAATTTCACCAAAAATCAAAATCAATTTTTTCCTGATATTATAGGAAAATAATCTCTTAAAAATAAATAATAAAAATAAAAATATCTCTAAATTTATGTAAAAATAAATAAATATAAAAAATAAAAATAAGATTAAATTTAAATTTTGAATTTCTAAAATTGAAGATTTTTTTAAGAAGAAAAAATATTTAGATTTTTTAATTGAAATTTTTTAATATAAAAATAATCATGTTAAATTATTATACAAAAAAATCAATCACATTCACTATCAAATATTATATCATTTTTAATATGCTACAATATGCACTAAAAAATTTAATGCAAAATTTTATAAAATTGTTTTATATATAAATGTATATAAAAAGAAATTATTACAATGACTTTTTTAAAAAGTAAAAAAGAGCAAAAATGCAATACTACTACTTCTAAATAATACAAAATTAAATTTATAGTTTTTTGTGACTTTCTGCTAGAAAAAAATATATTTTATAAATATTACAAATAAAAGTACAAAGATAATAAGAATTTATTTTTTATCCAAAAAAACTTTACTATTTATAAAACAAAGTATATAAAAAGTAATAATATAAATAAAAATACATGCATTAAATCATTATATAAAATATTTCAATCAAGCTAAAAATTAATGACAATCATTAGCATGATATTCATATTAGGTAAATAACACAAAAATAAATCAAACAATTAGAATACATAGAAAATTATCAAAATAATTGTAAAAAATAGTAGTAGTAACTTTAATATTGATACTAAATTTTTTTTATGGAACTAATTTACTTGAATTACTTTATTTTAAAATAAATACTTAATTTACACAAATTTAAAAGAGTTTTGGGAGGATATGGTTGAAAGTAATAAAAATAATTGTATTAATATTCTTTACAAGATATTATCAAAAATATTTTTGTTAGTAATTTTATATTAATGAATATAACGATTAATATAAATCACTCTATTCGAAAATTCATGTAGTACTTAAATATCATCATAAAAGATGTTTAATTTACAATTGTTCTATCATAAATAAAGGTATGTCTTTGCATTCAATTCTAAACAATATTAAAATATCTATTTTTGAAAGATGATATAGTTTTTTTTCCAAAATTATAACTAATCTAGTATTTTTTTAAAAAAAACTTTCTTAAAGTATGAAAAATAGCTTTGAATGAAAGATTGTTTTTAAAAAGAAGGACTATTTATAAGGTATAGTTTACAAGAAATCTCCTAGATTATCTAAAATGTTTCTTGTCTTATATAAAAAAATTATTAATATTTTTCTTTTAATTATTTTTTTCTTTGATAAGTTAATAAATATTAATTTAATTCTATTTTAAAATTATTTATTTATTTATCATCTTAAAAAAAAATACCTTAAATGGTACCATAAATTGCCTCATCTTTTTATTTGGATGAAGATTTATTACAAATGTTCAACCTCCTTTGTACCTAATTTGGAAGCTTTTTCTTAGCAGCCATATAAATGGTACCATAAATCTTCCATGATACCTCTTCATAACTATGGGAAGGAATAGTAAAATAAAACAAAATCTCTTTGCCATAATGATCATTTGTAGTATTCAATATCCATTTCTAATGTTGAATTTTAAATTTTAAATTATTAGATTTCTTTTCAATATTGCATGTACTTTTATTTGATAAAAATGTAATCAGTTCATGTTTACAAAGATCTGTTATAAGTTTTTGCATATAATTTTTGATGTTTCAAATAAATCAAATAAGGTGGTTGTAAACTAGAATTCGTGTATTAGTATAGTCTTCTATTCTCTTATTTTATAAGTCAATAGCAAAAATATAATCCCAAATATTTAAGAGGTACACTTCATCTTGTCACTGCTCGCTTTTGTAATCCAGAATTTTGTATCAAAGTATCAGTCTCTTCTTAGTAAATAAACAAATACTTTTCAGTGTTAGGTTCTTTAATCGTGTTCCTCTCAGTTGCAAGTGTTACAGTTCTGTACAGTAGATTATAAATATAATGGTACTTTTCGTCATTATTCCTTTCCCAATTACATTCTTAACTTTCATAACTTAAATGCTTATTTGATAACTTGATGATGAGCTGTTATAAGTGACACAAATCCAATCTCTTCAAAAGAAGAAATTGAAGTACCAACTTTCACACAACAGGAGCTGCAAGATTACAATTACTTGCATATTGCGATTAACCAAATTAAAAGTGTCGTGATAAGCAAGTGGCTAGAGATTTTAGATCTACATCTGCACTTTGGAAAGTATTCAACTGTGGTTACATTGTTGTGATGCATTGTGTGATCTTTGCTGATACACTATTGACTGTGTAACAATATGCATTGTTAATGAAGATCACCTCTTTTAGTGAGGCACTTGGTGATTACCTGGATGACCCAGACTTCATAGGGGAACTGCCTCAGTGAACTCTCCAAGCACCTGCACACAAAGGTTGAAGGACCTTGGCTACACCAGCTCATTTAGCATATAATTGAAGGCATTAGAAACTGGTGAATGATATCGTCCAAGCCGAATTGATCGCCCAAAGCATCCAGGTGGAGAATTCAACAGAGACATACAAGTCAGTATTTGAACGCAAAAGGCACAACAAACTCCCAACAACATGACACTTGATGTGCATGGAGCAGATAAACCACTGCCTACTTCACAATGGTAACAAATGCTCTCTTTCAAAACTGAAAGGCACACAATGAGATCTTCAGAATGATCACACTTCCTTCAGGAAGTGTCCAGCATTGGACCACATGATGAAAGACAACTCTGAGACAGGGTGCATAACATTGCATTAATGCACAAGCCCTTGCCAAAATACACCTGAACCTGAATACAACCCAAAAAAAATGATATAATTCAGTTAAAATAGCTTGAAATTTAAAGAAACTAAAGACGCTACAAAGTTTAAGAAAATCGGACTGGACATACACTAGCACCGACAGAAACTCCTAATTGGCGAAGAACATGAGCCTGATAATAATCTGTGCTGCTCAGAAGACAGATCGGTTCAGCAGTCAATAATCCCGTGCTCCAGCACCACAGCATGTACATCGATGGTAAACCCATTAATATATGATGATAAAAATTGTTCAAAAATATTAAAAAAAAAAAAAAAAAAAAAAAAAACAGATCATATGAGATCAAATCTAGCCACGCAAACGACAGACAACGGATGTGCATTGGCCAAAAGTAGAAACGAAAGAGAAAGGAAAAAAAAAATGAAATACAAGTGTAAATAAAATTCGAGTTTCAAAACCAAATATGATGTAAAAGTACACCAGCACACCAGAAACTGCTCCAGCACATTAGAGTCCCGCATTCAAAGCAATGATGAGGCATTATCTGCACTGGTACCCCTGTTCAAATGGCTCACCAGCTTGAGGAGGTTACAAGCGCAGATAAACAAACACTCGTATCAACAAAAATTGAACACTTCGTCAGTTTTATGACGTCTATTGTAGAGTAGACAATTTAGATGCTCGAACGACAGAAAGCTCAAACAGTGGTCACTTCCTTCTACATAATCTTCACCCAGCGCCCCCATGTGTATAGACCGTCCACTATAAATTGTTCAGAAGAGATACTAATATCAAAGTAGTAAAGAACCTTACTAGGATCTCCAGGAAAATTGCATATCAGGATTATCAAACAGTACAGAAATTTTTTAAGGTAAAACAAAAAATAACTCTCAAACTTCTATCTCCTCTTGAAGAGCTCTCAAAGATGCCTCTGAATGAGAACTCTTGATAAAACTACACATCTTACAGAAGAAGTAACAGTTTGCGATCCATGTCCCCGCCTGACATCGGTGATGAGAAGCTGGTATGATGGACATGACGAGGTGTAGTGTCAAGACTGGTCACAGAGCCCTCAGAGTTCACAGAGTCAGAAGGACTGTAAACTGTTTTAAATCCAGTAATCTGTCCCCCTTTGCCATCCTTCACCTTAAGTGTCAGGCCGAGGTCCAGATGTTCGGTAGAGCCAACGACGGTTTCCTGATCATCATACACAGCACATTCCTTCATGCTCATGCCATATTCAATCGCTAAGCAAGGTTTCAATCTCCTAGGGGCAGGGACCAGCACCTGCGCCCCCGAAAAATCTCGGTCTCTTTTCTCCCCAACCTTGTGTACGATGTTTCCAAGAGCCTCAGGCCACGCCACCATATGAGATTTAACATTACCTTTCGCTGTGTCTAGCTGCTGATGCTTCGGCCACTCTTGTTGCTGAACATTGATATCCCACTTCCGATCCCAGCTTGATTTGACAGCAGCGGCATCATGATCTTTGCTCTCATAACCATTTGTCCTCTGATACTGCTCTAGAATAGGGCCTGCTCCTACCCTCACTTTGCAAAGATCTGGAATATTTCCCTTGGCTGAGGTGATCAGGCTCGGGAGCAGACTGTCCCTTCCCTTCGAGGTAACTGATGTATCTTTCCCGGGATTGGAAGGATGAAGGAGACCTTGTGGCAGAGCAGAAAAGCCTAAAGAACATGAGGATGGTGCCTTCAAGACACCACCTTTCAGAACCGTTTCCACAGCAGCTTGGCAGACCTGCCAGTTGCCAGCCCAGAGGAGTCCCACTGCTCCAAAAACCGGATTGACGGTTCTTCCGCAAGCTTCGTAAAGCAGAGATTGAAACAACGCTGAACAAAACCAGAGATAAAACGTTAGTAGATAGAAAAGCATGCACAACAAACATTCATTACATCAAATGGTTTTGAAAGAAAACTTGAAAGTGATTTTACGTTAAGAGAGAAGGAAAAAGGATAAAATAATAATAATAATAATAATAGAATGAAAAAGTCTAATGTGTAGGTTGCGTTGGTTACCAGGGCGTTGGTTTTCAGGAACAGCAGTTATGAAGCTCATGAGGCCAGCCCGGCCGAAGAACTTTGCCACAAACACAGTAGCATGTCCTTGGGCATCAGCGCTGTCAATCCACTGAAGGCATGGACGAAGTATACATGACTCGCTGCATCCTTTACGCAGGACACGACAACCATTGCAACTCATTTTCAGACAATCCCCTCCTCAAACAACTTTGTCCAAGTGATGAAGTTCGTCTTAACCCTTGCCTATATAATAAAAATAACCTTCCCCCAGATACGTTGGTAGCCCTGTAGATGAACAAGAAACTTTCCGTCAGATCCAAAAACGTTATGAATTCCGAGATAACAACGGTCCAGAATATGAAATGAACTAAAATTTAACATTGTACACACCACTTCCAAGAGCTCTCGCGCAGAACATGGCGTTACAGATGTGAGAACACTGCCCATGTGACGTACTCATGCCAAACTTTGACACCCGCAACAGCAGCATGTTGTTTCAGCACATCGAACTACATGCAACACAGTGGTAGTCATGCAGTGTGTCATTCCAGAGTTGTATTTACCAAGTATAGAGGCAGGAGGTAGTTCCCGTCAAGTGAAGTTGGAGCGACCAGCGGTCCAGAGCATGGGGAGTGCGGACCTCCTCCTGACGATGATCCTTGTACTGGCGTTCGTATGAATCATGTGCTCCACTTTGGAATTCTCCTGCCTGAAATGCACAAACAGGAATTGATAAATTTTCACATATCCACAAGCCTCATTCTCATCATGCATGATGCGAGAACATATCCAAGTCTCACAACAACATGAGCTGAGAAATGCGAGATTTTACAAGTGTAACTAGGCAAGCTCTCAACACATTTAATACAAACAAAAAATATATATCATAGTTCAGAAACAATTTCTAGTGAAGTAAAGGAAGTTACAATGTAGCATTCGTTACTCACGTGCATTGTGTTAATTTTTCTAGAGATTTTTCGTTCTGAAAATGCACTTATCTTCAGATACGGAGTACAGCACTTACAGAACGATTTTGTCGGCTCATGTGTGGTTGAGTCTCTTAATATGTAAAGCTTCATTTTAAAATGATCGTGCGGGATACTCGATGACATCTTGACAGAAACGAACACATTGCTAAACCGTAAAGTAGAAGAAATCATACCTTCACAATTGGGAACCGATCGCTCCGGTTAAAATAAAAGGGTAGCCTCAGGTCCGTCCATGGTAGCAAGATGTCTTCGAAACCTACAGGCTCCAGCAAGCTACACAAGAACTTCTGATAGCAAAGGATGACTTAAGCGACAGGAGCGATGGACTGGAGTGCTACTGGTTCAAGAGAAACTGCGCACTGCATCGAGTTTTTGAGTGCTCAAGCGTTTCGTCGACTGTAACAGCGAAGTGCTCTACCCTTTGTAAACAGGGTTCCTACAGATTTTCTCTCCCTAGATGTACAAAAGCCTCGACAATATAAGCACCTCACCAGAGAGAAGAAGGTATCATAGTGAGACCTTACAGCACGGTAGACAACGAGAGAAAATCTTCCTTAGTACAACTTATCAACAGAAGAAAACAGACTACGCGAAATAAGAACTAAGACTCAAGGATGAAACCTTAAGAATTCCACTGGAAAATAGTACGCTCACAAAGGCCTGCGAGAGAATGCAAGACCAAGAAGAGACGCCGATGGAAGTACGAAACGAGGAGAAAAACGCCCTTCTAAACAAGAAAAAACTTCACTAGTCTCCACGCACAACACCCGGCAAGCAACAACGTCACTCAAGAGAACAACTCTACCCCGAAACCAAAAACTCACAATGCTTCAATTCCTTAAGGAGTCTTTCACGAGCAAGATCGCGCAAACTACTGATGACCGGTTCCTTCGAAAATCAACTTCACTGATACACTTTCTTGCGCGCTTCTAAAAACACACACAGACACTGCGCAAACACGTCTCCCACCTCAGATTAACTAGAACAAACTCACTCACACACAAGACAACCCGAGACAAGAAAAAGAAAAAAAAAATCCTCAACACGACATCAACCGGCTCTGGTATCTCTAATCACGTTGCTGTGCTTCTAAGGGAGTGAATTCCAACAACAGAGAGCTAAAAGCAGGACGCAAGAGAGAGAAGTAGACAAAGCAGACGTAGACGCGAGCAGGCAACGATGACAAGCGGGACAAGCGGGACTCTGCTAGTCAGAGATGGGATAGGAAGCGGAAAGCAAGTACGAAGCCAGAGAGGGAGTGAGGTGGCGAAGTATGCGAGCGATGGGGGAGTAGGCGAAGCTAGGAGTGCGAGAGCAGCAAATTGCGAGAGATGGCGAGCAGAGGGCGTGATAAGGGTGGTAAGAAGACGCCGCAACGGAGGAATTCCGGGGAGAAGCAAAAAGGGGGCAGCAGACCCTTCGCTGCCCTTTCCTGCCCTGTCCCACCTTCCCGACCTGCCCGTGACCTTCCTTCCTACTCTCCCCTGGACCGCCTGCCTTGGTGCGGCGACCTGGCACGTTCGCACCACGCCATCCGTCGGTGGGCCCCTCGAACCTGTCTGCTTTCTCAGCCCCAGCCTCAGCCCCGGAGGACCCGTGGTAACTTCCGTTTTACCTCCCCCTCCTCTCCCGCGATCCCTGAGATAACTTCAGCTCTTTATTACCTTTTACTTTCTGTTGCGCTTTTATTCATGGGTCCTGTTGGAGTTCCAATACAAAGGGGGAGATGGGCATGGACATATTAGGGGGAATTTGGAGGAAAAAAGAGTAGTAGTTGAACCACATACTGTTTTTGAGCTCTATAACTTGAAGTATGTGTTGTGAAAGTTGTATGTGGACATGCTCCTTGCTTGACCAACACTTGGACTTGAAAGAGATTGTACATGATTTGGTAGTTGTAAGCAACTTTTTCTTTTCTTCCTTCTTCATTTATTTTACTTTTTCCATGGATGTTTTAACACCAATTCCAAGCTTGTTTCAACTTTGCCATTAATGCTAACTTAAGATGTACAATGTATGATTATTGTTTTTTTTTTTAGGTATGATATGATTTATTAATATTTTAAAATAAACATTGATGCATATATATATATATATATACATATTCATACACATACCAAACTAAACAATGAAATGATCCACAAATTACATATCACCTTTTTCCTTTTTTTTTTTTTGTCTGAAGCTGCATTAACATTGTCTGCTCCATAACCACTAATGACAATTCTTGCAGGTAAGAGAAAGATGTCAATCCTAAGTGTTACTTGGTCAATAGTACAATATCCCTATTAAAAAATAAATAAAAATAAAAACATTTTGATTAAGCTGGTATCAATTTCACAGTGTGTGTGAATTAGTGGCCCTGGTTAGAAGATTTCAACTGAGTTGTAGTGGAAAAGCATGCTTCTTCTAGCACAACTTAACCCTAATCGCACTGATCACACAGTACAGCTTCAGTACTCTATGAACAAACAAATGAATGAAAATAAAAATAAACACTGTGATCTTCATCCTGTAACAACATGGCAATTGGAAGAAGAAAAAAAGTATGAAAAAACATGTCAATCTAAACCAATGTAGTAATCAAAGACTCAAAATCAAGGGAAAATTCATACACATTAAAAACAGTAACAATAACAAAGTGGGTAAAATTATGTTTAAGAAAAAAGCCAGAAACGCAGCAAACAAAATGAAGGTATTGTAAGAGTCTTTGGCTCCCTTATCAGAAACTCAAGCCCCCTTACCAGAACTGCAAACTCCCTTATCAGAAACTCCCAGGGTCCCTGAGAGCCACATCACACAGTAAAGCAGCACTGCAAAACTGGCAACACCACCCCATTTCAAAAGGCTTTTTTGCTTGCTTGCTTCCTGTTTTATTCTAAGGTACATGTGCTGTCTGTCTGCAATCTGAAGCCCCTCAAGTTTGAATTTATGCCTCTGCCTTGATGGTCCTCTCAGATATATACTACTAGTTGGGACCCAAGAGCAGCCCAGCATCTCCACACCCACACTATCCCCTGGACCATACCATTTATTTCCCCCATTACCCACACGCCCATTTATTGCCACCGTACCCAAATACCCACTTGGCCACCACTGCACATTAGGGTTTTGATTTTATTATTGTATTTTGTTTCTTTCTATGGAGGTGTATAGGGGTTGGGCTGATGAGGAGTCTCTTAGCATGGTATTAAAACCATGCTTTCTGCTTTTGACCCCCACTCTCATCTTTTTGGTTTTTTTATTTAATTTAATACTTTCCATACCCCCCCTCCCCCTCCTACACATCTTTGACCATTTTTTTAATAGAAACTCTATTATTTCATGTTGGGTTGCATCTTGACGCAACAAAGAGGGAAAGGAGTGTGCTAAGGTGGGTGACGAGGATGATAAGAGTTTGTTGCTTACTCCGAGAAATTAGGGTTTTGCTTGTATATTTGTGTGTTGGTGGCTAGTGAGTCAGTTGGGTTGGTCGGTTTCTGTGGCAACCCTGAGCTAGGGTGTGGGACGCGGACATAGTTGCACTTGTGAGGACAACTGGAATAATTCTTGTAATCTGTGAATCTATTTTTAACTGAAGGATATGAGATTCATGAAAATATCATAATAAATTAATAAATAACTGATGTGTTTCAGCATGTTATGTGAGCCTTGTTAACACTATTGCTTACATCATTAATTCCTTTTCGTTTTTGTTTTTTTGTATTCGAGGTTTACAATGTTGTGAACATTTTCATAGAAACATCATTGGAAAAACTGCGTGGTGTGTAGAAACTTTTCAAAAGAAGTTGGTTACTGTAATCTAATCATATGATTTATATTTTTATTGATCTTGTAAATAGAAATAGAAATAAACATTTGGGAACCTGAATTGTTTTTGATTGCAACAATCCATCAAAATGCATTACATTATGCACTCGGTAATTGAATACAGAATATTCCGAAATGATTCTTTGGGCAGTGCTAAAACAATTTCCAGGCCAAGCCAGTTGTTAGGATTGGGCTATATAATTTATTATTATTATTCTCTTATAAATAGAAAGAAACAAATACACCAAAAAAAATTTAACGGTTTACTTTTATAAAACAATTTTAGCATTTTACAAGATTTGAGCAATGTGCCAATGTGAATGGTTATAAAATTTTAAAATTCCGAAAATCGATAGGGAATTGTTATTGGAAATTGAAAAATTCATAAATAATGGTTGTAGTGTTTTGATACAAGTGCAAATATCCAAAAAATCAAAATAAAAAAAATAAAAAAAATAGAGAGAGAACAAATAAAAAGGATTAGAGCTTTTCTAAGATTGCAATTGGTGTTTAATTTTGAAACATTATTGATATAAACATGGATGTCTTACAGAAATAAGATAATTACCATTATTTATGTTTCAAAGTGAGATGAAGGATTTGATAAATTACCTCTTATTACTCAATCCTTTTTTCCTGATAGATTAAAACATGGATATTTTTAATTTATTAATTAGTTAATAAAAAAATATTATGTTCTTAAAGCTCTTAAAATTGGTATTCTCAAACTATAACTTGACTTTTATAATTTACATCCACGATCCAAATCTAAAGTATAAAACCAATATTGTATTTTAAAAAAATTAAGCTATCAAAACAAAATAATCAATTCTGAAGTACAACTTAGTGACTTGCTAAATTGTTGGAAATCTAGAAACAATACAGCTGTGTTTGTCTGCTTAACTACTTAATATAGTAATACTATTAAATATCTACAAAACATACATAGTTTCATACATAGTTTCATACATTTTTTTTTCTCTTTAATATCAAATAAAATATGTAAATATTTGGTTTTAAGAATATTCCACAAATTTAGAAAAGAATCAAACATGTCATAAATGCACTAAATTAGCATCTAAAATTAACAAATTGCTTGTTGGATCTTTCATTTTCAATTTAAAGCCTTACAAATCTATGAAAACAAAATTTTAGAGAATATTTTAGTTATGTCTAAAGTTCTTAGACAACAATAAATATATATGTATATATATAAATGTACATATCAAACTACATAATTAATATTTTGATATGACTATATATAAAAACATAATATTTATCATCTTCTTTGGCAAAACCACAAATTTTAGAACTTTCAATAATATAATATAATATAATTATTTATTTAATTAGTAAACTTACTTTATATTATATATAGAAAAATAAAATTTGGTAGTTATGAATCTTTTAGTGTTTTTAACATGAAATAATTAATTAAAACATTGTCTATATCAGTAAAAATAATTTAGAAAAGTATTGTCATAATTAGTGTTATTAAATTTCACTGTATGATAACTCAATTATATTTTATGACAATATCAATTGAATTAGTTTTATATGAGATAGTAAGTTTAGTAACTATTATTAAATTCATATTAACAACTTTGACCTAACTTAAAATTGTAACAATTTAAGGTTACAAATCATTAAATTCTATAATAAATCAATGCATAATTTATAAATTAATATTTCATGATTTTTTTTTTTTGTTGTTTCACAATTGTACTTTGTGACTGTTTTTTTCTTAATAAAACTACTATTTATTTTATACTATGAATATATTTTACAATTTATTATTCTTAATTAAAATTTCAATTTACTTTAAAAGTCTTGGATCTTCAAAGGTGGTCAGAAACAAGAGGAAATTTTACTGCTTAGTTGTTAGAATTTGAAACAGAACATGTTACTTAACTAGTAGTAATAATATATATATATATATATATATTATTATATTCTTATATATATATATATATATATATATATTTTATATAAAAACTAGTAGTAATAATATATATATATATATATATATATATATATAATCTTATGATATTAAAAGAAATTAACCTCATCAACTCTTTCTTATTTTTTACTTTTATTTTTTGGTATTATGATCAAAGTAAAATTTAATAAGACTATCTAGGAATGTGGATGGATTTAAATTATCATTGTATATTATCAAAATAATTGTGTTAACATAAGTTTATCAGAATAAAACAAGATAAAAGAGGGCAATCATGAAAATAGTTTCAATTTCTTTATGATTGCTTTTAGGATAAATCATGCTGCAACAACTTGTAGTGTTTAAAAAGGTGGATAAAAAAAACTGTAACTACCAAATTTAGTGATTACATTGCCATGTATCAAATATAATCGCCACATTAAATCATTTGGCCTTGCCAGAAAGTCGATTATGCATTCATTTTAAATGTGACATAGACAAAAAAAAAAAAAAAAAAAAAAAAAAAACTGGTCTAATAGTTTAAATATATGTAAATTGAAAATTAAAAAACCATGCATGAAT